TACAATACAATACAATACAATACAATACAATACAATACAATACAATACAATACAATACAATACAATATATATAATCAGTATAATATAATATAATATTAAGTATTGCCAATTTTTTTACCATTTATTCTGAGGAGCGTTAAAACATTTAATTAATTAGATTTTTTTTAAACTAAGTGCGCATTTGACCTCAGTCTCACCTGGTCAAAGTGACGAGGTCAACGATGGAGCAAGCACACCCAAATTATGCCTATTCACTCTCGCCTAAAAAACGCCCAATTTATAGCGTTCAGAGAATAAGTCTGCAGTCTGCACTGCATAGTCATTCGCCATATAAATGTGGAAGCGTGACGCTTCGAGCGAATGCTTGGAATATCCACAACATAAGGGTGGAACCCCAGCCTATGTCTATTTCCCCGATGATGGAAAGGGGAAGTTGGAATTAAATCATGCAATTGGTATAGCAATGTTGGGTATTTTCACGTGCATATATTCCACAGGATTGAGTCCTGAACATTTAAGTGGGAGGAAAGTGGGTGTCTTCATTGGATCCTGCTTTTCGGAGACGGAGAAAGCCTTCGTTTACAGTGCTACCCTCGGAGGCGGATTCGGCGTAACAGGGTATAGTAAAATTGATTTGTTTCTTGTGGTACATAAATTATAGACATGTCAGATATGTATTTTGAATCACTGTGATCTGCCTTGCGGCATACAAAGTATTTGTAATTTTTTTTAAACATTCATGCAATAATTTATAGACTGTGCTCACACAATCCAATTAATTACAAAAGCCAAAACCAGAGTCTGTCTAATTTTTAATTTTTTTAACTGCCTCCGTGGCCGAAAGGTTGCCATGCCGGACTGCCACGCAGAGGTCTCAGGTTCGATTCTCGGGCCGGGAGAAATATTTGTATGGCCTACATTTATTTCTCTCGTGAGTTTGGGTGTAATTTGTTGTTGTCTATGTGTGTGTCCATGGCACCCGCGACACAGGTTTCCCTAGTGCGAGCCAATGTTGAGTGTGTGCGTTAAAAAAAAATTATAAAAAGAAACAATTTGTCATTTTGTAAGACATTAGAAATCGCACTCAATTTTTGTAATACAAAATACAACAACAACAATTTCAAGTACAATAATTTACAATAATTCGGGATCTTGGACTTTGCCAAGTCCACTGGAACATTCCCTTGTCAAAGGGAAAAACGACCGAACGAAAGGGAATTTGACATTAAATTTCAACAAAAAAACTGGTAGTGTCCTTACAAGGTACAACTATGAAAATTTCAGATGCAACCGGTCTATGTTTGCGAATCGTATTTCCTACTGGCTGAACGCCAAAGGTCCTTCGATGGCTGTGGATGCTTCTGACTGCAGCGGGCTGGCTGCTCTGGAACAAGGCTTCCAGGCCATCATGCGAGGAGAATGTGTCGCTGCTCTGGTTGGATCCAATAACGTTTGTTTGCATCCGCAACCATCTGTGCATTATGCAAGGTTTGTGCTATTGTCACCAGTTTTTGCCATTGTTTCAAGAACACTTGTGACGCATTCATATCAAGTCGTCAGGCGACCTTCGCTTGCCCGCCGAAAGCGGCAAGCTACCCGGTGTAAATAGTGAGTCGTCTGATGAGACGGTAATTTGCAGCCAAAGTCGATCGAAGCGACTGGGTGCGTTGCCTTCGGCAAGGCGAAGTGGTGTGCCAAAAGACGACTCGGTGTAAATGCGCCATTAAACTGTACCATGACCTCTGCTACTTAATGCCACTGGTGTGTTATGCTTTTCTGTGGACCTACTACGACTATGTGAATTGTAATAGTATGCTTATATTTAAAATTAAATTATTGTTTATGTCAACTTGAGGTTTACTTGGTAGAAGACTTGGTTACTCGAAGTTAGTCGTTGTACATACTTTTGGTGTATCGTCCTGTATTGTTAATGGAGGCTGTCAGTGCAAAAGTGGTGTAACCCACATTTCATTTTTGTACTACAATATTACTTTAAATGACAAGTACATCATTATTTTATATTTCGATGCTTTTTTAATAATTAAATATAGTTAATGAATGAAAATAGCATTCGATAACAAATAACTGCTTCCGTGGCCGAACGGTTACCATGACTGCCATGCAGAGGTTCCAGGTTCGATTCCCGGGTCGGGAGAAATATTTGTTTGAAATGTTTGCAGTTGTATGGCCTACATTCATTTCTCTCGTGAGTTTGGGTGTAATTTGTGGCTGTCTATGTGTGTGTCCATGGCACCCGCGGCACAAGGTTTCCCTAGTGCGGGGCTATGTTGAGTGTGTAGGTTATTATTCTTATTATTAATGGGGTACACCAGTTTTGCGCTGATAGTCTCAGTTCACTGTTACCGTTTGCTTTTGCAATAACGTATATTTCTTTATTTGTGTTTTATATATTTCTTCATATGTCTATAGTAATTTGAAATGAATGGAGTGTTGTTTCAGAATCGTAAAGATGAGCAAAGACGGCAAAACTAAGTCGTTCGACCAAAATGCGGACGGCTGTGCAAAATCTGATGCGGTGAACATGCTGCTCCTACAGAAAGCTAAGGACGCTAAAAGGTATTTAATCGTAAATCCAGCACTATCCAGATCATCATCACCATCATCAACCCTTTTGTACGTCCCGCTGCTGGGCACGGATCTCCACTCAGGCGAGGGTTAATGCCATAGTCCGCCACTCTGGCCCAATGCTGGTTGGTGCATCACACGTTTTCCGAGTGCTGTGAACCTTCTGCGACATGCAGGTTTCATTACGATGTTTTCCTTCACCGAAAAGCTCATGGGAAACGCAAATTAAATTTCGCACGTGAATTCCGAGAAACTAGAGGTGCCCATATTTGAACCCACGGCCTCTGTTTGAGAGGCGGCCGGTCAAACCATTAGGCTACCCACGGCTACCGTCGAGGTGAAATTTATGAATTTTATTGGAATTATACAACTTATAATTATTAATACAAAGATCGAACACTACGAAAAACATCCTGCGATCCGGCGTGACTCGATCCGGCGCCTGCCAACAAATCAATAAAAAACTGAAAAAGTTACAATTATTTAAGCGACAGCTCTAGTCAGCTGGTGGTAGGTGTAAAGGTACCTGGCTAAGTGAAGAAATAGATTTCTCACAGATGGCGCTACGGCAAAAAAATCGTTAAAAAAACCAAAAACAAAGATCTGCAACAAGCACATACAAAAATTCCTAAGGTCCACACGTTTGCTGGAAGACGGTGGTTTGAATCGAAATGATTTTTTGTTTGGAGTAATTTCACAAAAATAATTGAATATCATGGTGGTCAGACGTGACTAAATAAGAAACTAAAAAAATTGCAATTATAAAAGTTATTTATTTATTTAGTGTAATAATTTATCTAAACAAGGCTAAGCGCGGTAAGAATATAAATTATGAGAATGTGTTTATTACCTACGTAATTTTTTTAGGATTTATGCAGAGGTGGTCCACGTGAAAAGCGAGTTCACAGAGTTGCTGGAAACAGAGGCAGGCCCTAAATTTGGGTTCTACAGAGATTCTCAAGTTGCTGCCCGATTCATTAACGATTTTTATAAAGAAGCTGGAGTGCCTCCACACGCAGTCGAATATGTAGAAGCTTTCGGTGCAGGTCGGTTATAGAATAAATACTTTTAGATTGTTTCGTTTATATATAAATATTATATAATACATTGTCGTATAAGAGAATTTAGCATTAAATTGCGTACAATTTGTTTCTTACTTATTTTGACACCATGTGGATATCTTTGCCATGAAAACATTTTTAAGGATATAAGCATAATCTTTACCACGTTACTTCATTACAGCCGTCTCAGAGGCTGATAAAGAAGAGCTGGAGGCGATTGAGACCGTGTTTTGCAAAGAGCGCCGTGAACCCCTCTTAGTCGGCAGTGTTATGTCCAACATCGGTTACACAGAGGCGGCTTCTGGCATTTCTGCGGTTACTAAGGTAGGTAAAAATTTGCAATGACCGACCGATAATCTGCACCTGCATCGCCATGGGGATGTATACATAATATAGATTTCTAATGTAATGTCAGTTATCACTCATCAGTGGTCAGTGTTCAGGATTATGGGTGTTAAATAAGGAAGTCTCGAATGAGATAAAAATTTTTCAGTAGGTACGACCCATTTCGGAAACCGACTAGCAACAACAATAGATAACAAGTAGCAGTAAAGCTCCTTGTAAAAGAGTTCATCCAAGGAAGTACACCCACCTTACCTATTTGCCAAGCAGTAGAATAAAGGTTTTCATGCTCATGGGACTTGTCAACTTATATGACGCGCGCAGTGGCAGTGCTCTTTGCGATTTAAAGCTCGAGTGACACTGCAGCTACTGTGGACAGGCAGGTCGCTTACCACTACACGCACGACTTGTTCGTCCCGTCACTAGGTATTATAAAAAAGCTTTATTAAATTGCTTCTAGTTAGGTAAGTGACCTGAGAATTAATTTCGTTACTCTGGTACTCGTAGTACTGGGAATTCACTACCTACCACCCCGCAAAAAATGGCAGTTTTGTTTGAGAAATCGGTCATGTGTGTTTTCAGCCTAATTACTCTAGTCTTTGTTCTTTCTCGCTTATTGTACCCAATAACATTGAAATATGAGAGTTCAGGTAATTATTAATTGTCATGTTGTCGTTGTTACATTTATGTCGAAGACAGTAGGAACCTTATCGAATATCCTGACTTGGGCCAATACGGCGAGCATTGTGACGTTCGTATGGGCTACAAGTAAACTTTTGAACTTTCATCTGCTTTATCAGGTGATACTAGGCTATCAAAGAGGCAAGTTGGCCGCCAACATGCACTGCACAACTCCTCGTCAAGACATCCAGGCTATCCGCGACGGGCGTATGAAAGTCGTCACCGAGAACACTCCATTCAATCCTATGGCTTACGTAGCTGTCAACAGCAATGCGGTCACTGGAATTAACGCCCACGCTCTGCTTAAGGGATACTGTAAGCCTAAGGTACAATACCTTTTTGAACCTTCTGAAACTGAGGAAAATAAAAGGTATTTAATTATCTGTGGTATACATAGCATGGTTATTGGCTGTATACAGGAATAAAACTGCGATTATTATATATACTTCATTAGGTTCTTTTACTGATTCGACATTTTTTGTACAATGTAGTTGAGCTTTAAATTGTTGAGTTGCTATTTTGTCAATAAACTCGAATATATTCAAATTTAAAGGACGATATTCTCAACAGGACCGGAATAGTTACAAGTGTAACTTTCCGCGCCTAGTGACGATTTCAGCAAGACAAGACATAAATATCCAAAACATCCTCAATGACTTGAAGAGCAAACCGATCGATCCTGAAGAAATTGCCCTGTTCCACAATATACACAAGTATAGGATCCCTGGTCATTTAGGCAGAGGCTACATTATTCTAGGTATGAAGCACATTGCAATATTTTATAGAATTGGTCTTCGCTATCATTGGTCTCAATTTAAGGTTCTAGCGAGTTTCACTTAGAGGGAACTATTTGGCAATAACCCAGAGGATTATCGAAAACAAATTGTGGAATGAAAACTTTAACCACAAGTTCTATTGGGCATTCTGAACTACTTTTTCTATGATCAACTCATAAGGAAATTTTTTTCTCCGCCAATTATATTTTTATAATTTTTTGTTTTTGATGATTTTTTTGTACAGCAAACTTTAGGACACTTTGTCAGTGAAAAATAAAGTAAGGTACCAAACTTATTACGCCTTTTAAATTACAGACACCGATGAGGAACAGAAGACAGTGTGTCTTGGAGAAACGGCGGCGTACTATGACGATACCAAGCGCCCGCTCTGGTTCGTGTACAGCGGAATGGGCTCACAGTGGGCAGGCATGGGAGTGCACCTTATGCGTATTCCCATCTTCGCCGCCGCTATTGAGCGGTACGTAAAATCCTCACTTTAGGCAACGTGTTTTCAAGATCGAAGTATTTCGCTCAATTTTATAAGTTCTATGGCGGTTCGTAGTTGATCATACTTAAAATTACCATTAAATTATTTTCAGCTGTCGTATTGCCCTAGAGCCAAAAGGTATCGACATCGTGCACATAATCACGTCCCCGGACAAGACGATTTTCGACAATATCCTGAACTCTTTCGTTGGCATCGCTGCCATACAGATCGGTCTGACAGATGTGCTCAAATCTATTGGGCTTGAACCAGATAATGTCATAGGTGTGTAAACTATTTATATTTTTCGAGTAAAACAATAACTCAGTTCCAAAAGTGGCAACTGTCCGCTGGAAGCATAGACGAAGTGCAGATTCTCAATGCATTCTAGACAGGCGAGGATATTTAATCACATTAATTCTAAACAGTTTGAAAGGAGAAAAGAAAAAAGTCTTTTTTGTTACTTTGGTTTAAATGTCACAAAATTACAATAATAAAAGCATAGGTTTTACACTGGTTTTCAAAGAAGCCGGACTTTGATATTGGTATTGTATAGTTTTTCATGAAATCTGGGAATTTGGAAATATTCTGAAAGTTGGCGAATGTTAACAGGTCATAGCGTAGGCGAGCTGGGTTGCGCATACGCCGACGGTTGCTTCACTGCTGAGGAGATGATCCTTTCTGCGTACAGTCGTGGGCTGGTTTCAATTCAAACGCCCTTTATTCACGGCTCTATGGCTGCTGTGGGATTGGGATATGAGAAGGTAAACTACTGACTGATGTAGTTAATTCTTCAATTAATCAATGTTTGAAAATGGAACGGTTTGCATAAGTCCATATATGGACGAGTTGATGACTGTGAATTGAAACTTACTTTATTTTAAAGAAAATTCTAAATCAATCCATAAAATTTGACAGGTGTTAGAAATGATTCCACCGGAAATCGAAGTGGCATGTCACAATAGTTCCGAGTCAAGCACCATATCAGGGCCGTCTGATATAATGAAGGAATTCGTTGCCAAGTTGACAGCGGAGGGCATCTTCGCCAAAGAGGTGCCGTGCTCCAATATCGCTTACCACTCGCGATACATTGCTGAAGCTGGTAAGCTTCTTTTCCTTTAAATGTTGTTGCTCATATTTTACCAGGTAATTAATGATAACTTTGAAATATGTATATAATTATGCTTCGAATAATAAAAAATCATTTTTTGTGATCAAGGGGTAATTGCTTCCAGTCCCAATTGACACCTTCCGGTACTATAAGTATCGCTCTTAACATACCTGCCTAGTTATCAACTTTTGTTGCTAAGTCAAAGTTTCAATTTTAGCTATTTATGTCTCAGCTGTCTTGCCTGTATTGAACCGAGTATTTTAATGTTTTAGGTCCTGGTCTGCTGAAGTATTTGAGTGAAGTAATCAAGGATCCAAAAGAGCGCAGTGAGCGATGGGTGTCAACGTCAGTACCCCATGAAAAGTGGGGAGAGCCTATTGCCAAATATTCTTCTGCAGAATACCACACAAATAACCTACTGGTATAATTTAGATACCTATATTATAATTTTTGTCACCAGATATTGCTTTGCTGAGATAATGACACATATATTAGAAATTGAACTTGTATCCACTGAATGTATATAGTATAATAAAATTCAATTCAGAACCCAGTACTGTTCGAAGAGACTGCTCAATTGATACCAGCGAATGCGGTCCTCGTAGAAATTGCTCCTCACGGTTTGTTGCAAGCTATCTTGAAGCGATCGATGCCCAGCTGCAACAATATCCCTCTCACCAGACGAGGGCATCCCGACAACGCGTTAATGGTTCTTGATGCTATTGGCAAGTGAGTTTGAAGTGTGATACTAGCATATCATTTCGTCGATGGTGATACTGTATATACGATTAATTACTAACTTCTTTGCAGACTATTTGTCCACGGATACAACCTGGATATCGCCGCTCTGTATCCAGCAATACAGTTCCCCGTCTCCACAAACACACCGATGCTGTCTCATTTTGTTGAATGGGCTCACACCGAGAAATGGTACCTTTTGCTTTGGATATTACTCGTAAAGCATAAAATATTTCAATGATAAAGCTGCTGGCGAATTCATAGCAAACAACATTGGAACTAAAACTTGATATTACAGGAATGTGCCACTCTTCGATAAGGGTACGATGAAAAAATATCCAATATGCAATTTCGTGCCATCGATCTTCGACGTTGAATACAACTATTTACAAGGACACGTGTTAAGAGGTAACCTAATTTTTTTCATAATTATTGTTGAAGATACATTTTATTTACGAAAATTCCAGGTCGTAAAATTTCAATTAGCTGATGTCACTAAAACTAAACGTTTGCGTTGCATAGTCTTGCGGTGAGGCGATTGATTTGTAATTGTTGTAATTATACATAATTTCATTAATTGAATTTATTCTGTATCGATTTCTTTGTAATCGACGTTTCCTACGCCGACGAGAGTCGATCTTTGACGGCGCCGAAATTTCTTGTTTGCGAAATATTGTTTAGTCCTATGAATCTTATCAGTTGGAAGTATTTTTTGTTTTAAAAAATGAAAAATACTCGTACTATATTGGTTGTATACAAAATTAACCGGAGTGTTTTCTTTATAGTATTGTAAATATTTGTATAAGAATCTCTTCTTTCATTATTTCAATTCGAGACGAGACTTGTCCACAGTGAAATCAAAGGTAATTTGCTTAGAGGTTGGATTGGTTTCCATAGTCTAAGGTAATTTGTTACTAGACAGTTACGATTTTTAAATTTTTTGACTAATGCTTTGTTGTCAGGAGTAGAATTTATCGCTCCATTTTCTTTTATGTATATTCAGCGAGTTTGAAGTAATGAAGATTTATACTCGATGTGAAGTGAAGATTACTATAAAATGATACTGTGCCCTGGAGCAACCGATGGCAGCATACAGCGCACATAATATTGTAGCAGTAGAGCTCTTTGTGAATGAGTTCGTCCAGAAAAGTATTGCTACCATACCCATTTCTGCCGGTAAACAGTAATGTGAGCCTTACAGCGTTCCGGTTTTGAAGGGTAAGGGTAAGCACATGAGACTTGTTAACTTATGTTTGTGGGTGATGCGCGCAGTGGCAGTGCCCCTGAGATCTTTGCGAATTAAAGCGCTGAGGATCACTGCAACTGGTATGGGTAGTCATGTCGCTTACCACCATGCGAATGACTTGGTCGGCCGCTTGGTATTATTAAAAAAAACACAGATGCTAGTTATTGGGAGCTGTTTGTCGACGTCTCCTAGAAGATCAACCGTTTCTGGAGTACTTTAGCGCTACGACTTCAAAGTAGTAGATTGTTTCGTGGATCCAGTAGACTTTAAGACGAATGTCAAAAACGTGCAGTGAATTATATATGGTGGCCGCAGTGGAGGTGAAGTAAAAACGGGAAAATATATAGATAATAGTTATATTCAACTTCCACAATAGATTTCTTAACTAAAGGAATTTAAAGTACGTGCGAAGTAAGGGGCGTTGGGCCTAAAGTGCTTTATACAAAAGAGAATAAATGCACGGGACGCTTGTTTCTGCTGCGAGCGAGTGACTAGCGCTCTCTTGACGCGAAGGCACATTATGCCGCAGAGTGGAGCATTCCATGTACTTACGGCTTCAGGTTCGGCTTTTTGAGCCGTATCTGTAAATATGTGCTGGTTGTGCATATGCGCTGTGTGCAGTGAATTGGTATATAATTCTACTCACAGACCACATAAATACTAGTACCGTGGTTCTACTCATACTATAACCATAACTTAAAGATTTTGATTGGGTTGAGCTTAACACGTGAAAACGACGTAACACGATTTTAAAATTTAACAAAATTAAACTGACAGCCTCTTGAATAAGAGTTATATTACAATATTTCAATATTTTTTTCATCCTGGTTCAGCCATTCACCAACAGGTGGTGTTTTAGTAAAAATACTACTAGTATATAATAGCTAACTATTACACGTTAGATGGCGCTGAAACTCATTTTTCGTTACACTAAGAACTCGCGGAGCGGTTTTCACCCGCGTCTGCCGAATCTGTAGAATGTAACAGTTAAGTATGTAAAATTAGTAGCACATTTCACGGCGCGTTTTACGCCTGTAGTGGTGACGGTTGCTCGCGGTTGCCGCGGCGGGGTACTAGTAGAACCGCGCAGGACGCGATGACCTGCGCGCTTGGCGGCCGTGTCGTCGCCCGCACACTTTGGCGGTCGGTTCAGGCGCAATGTGGTGCAGGCGCAAGCAGGGTAAGTTCTCTATTAACCGCGCGACTTGCAATTAACTTCCACTAACTTCGCGGTCCGTTCCGCTATCGCAACGGTTTCGTACCCGCAAACGCAGCAGCTACGTGCCCGCACAAACTTGAAGGGTCGTAAGTATTGAAATAAAACCGCTGTCTAGAAGCACCGGCGGGCGCGGATGGAAACCGCTCAGTGAATTGTTAACCTAAAACTGACGCTACTCAACAAGGGATGTGGTCCTACCTAATCGATAGTTGGAATCCATGTGGCTGTTTTTAATATTAAAAAAATATTCCATTTTTCATACTATATCTACACTGGTACTGGTTTATTATTAAATTAATATAAATTATTATTATTTTCTTAATGGCGGCCACTAGGCTTGGATCAGTGTCAGTTTTATAAGAATAATATAAAAAATATGGCGATCGTCGCCAGTGTCAATTTTCCATTATACGTTACCTCGGGTTGGTGAAGCTGTCACTGTCAAGAGTAAACTCGAACCATCAATGAATTTAATAAATTAAATTGTTGTTTTTTTTATGAAGGATTTATGTAATTTTCTATAATTGTTTCTAATTTATTTTGCATACACATTTAAAATAAAGCCGATTCTATTTTATTTATTTTTTAAATGCATTTGCTATGGAAATTGAAACAAAGTCAGAAATAGTAATAAGAAAACCAATCTTTCGATTTTCCTGCAGCTTCAATCCAACCTTCTTTTATTTTAAACTTATAGGAAAAACTTAAAAATTAAAAATACTCTACGTTTAATCTACGAGTATAATGGAATTTAAATATCTAAAACACATAAATTTTTCTTCAAGCGACAGCAACATCCAAATTGATATGAAATTGAAACGGTTCCCCGTAATATGAGTTGTGTTAAAGTTACTCGAAATGAAATGTTTAATAATAGTAATAAAATAAAAGAAATCAATTTAACGTGAATGCTTTTCGCTTCGATATTTTAAGGACTTTAATTACAAAAGTCATACTAAGAAATTGAAACATTTCAGTAAAAATTTATTGTCGATAAACATCAGTCTTCGTAAATGAACATCACTATATTTGAATCTAGAAATTTTCCATGGAGACAAAAAGAAAACATTGAATAATAATAGAAATAGTAACTAAAAATGCAAATAGCCTATGGAATGTTATCTCACTGGTTTTAAAATTTTTGTTTTCACTCCAATTTTTACAAGGTATATCGCTACAACTTGGCATTTTCATATTTTACGTGAGATCTTGTATGTACAACGATCGCCATGTCACTGTGGCGATGTTTGTAGGCGTGTCACCTCGATATGGTCATTTTGACCATAACGAGGCGATGTGAACCACGCCCCCATACCATATCTCCCCTTTTTTCTATATCTATGGTTCTAGTAGACACATAATGAACGGTGAATTATAACAAGTGTATAACGAGCGCAACGAGCAGCGCGCAAGGAACTATTGCATTTTTGTCGAGAATGAATACGTACTTATAAACAACTATAATCCAAAAACAATTGTGTGCACACACAGAATTGTATATATCACAACGGGGCATATCCCCTACTTATTGCACTACTTATCTACTACTGTATTAAAATTCTATGTAAATACAATGTGTACAATGTGTATGTACAATGTGTATGTACACGTCTACATAAAATCCTGACTTGGCAACAAAATTGATACAGTTACGTATTTAATAAATATTTGGCTTAATATCTACCTAAGTAACTGCAACTAAAAGGATTCAAAATGTCGTAAATTGACAGCATTTCGTTTTCGGGAACGATCCTGCGATTCCTATGAAAGAAGAAGTTATGATAGTTGACATGTCCAAGTCCATGAATAATTTTTTTTTTAAAGAATGAAATTAAAAATGTGTAAGGTTTGCAATAGTGATGTATCAAAAATTATGAAGAAATTCATTAATTTAAAATCTAACTGAATGTGTTTCAAGTTTGTAGTCATTAATTTTTGACTGAAATTTGCATTTTGGGCTACACCTTTCTGTAATAGAAAATCTTTTGATATTTATACTTTGTATTTATACTTTGTATACATAGCAAAAGACGAAATATGAAAATGAAAAGGTTTATGTCAGTGATAACGCTACAATAATATAAATTGATATTTTCCAGGCAAGAACCTGTTACCGTTTGCGGCGGTAATAGAAGCGGTATGGGACACGTACGCAATGATTCAGGGCTCACCACGGCGACAGTTACAGGTCGAACTCCGCGATGTGTGCCTGTTTGTGCAGCCGCCGCTGCATATCAAGCAAGTGACGCGCTTGCGCGTCGTTTATTTCCGCGGCAGCGGCAAATTTGAGGTAAACACTAGCACTGTCACAACATTGTAAATCCTACGTTAACAAATGTCATATCTTGTCTATCTCGAGAAGCTACTGTAAGTTGCTGGAGTGTAAATAAATAACCTGTAGACGCCAATGATAAAGCGACAGTATCTGGAAAAATATAGAGATACAGCTGAAATCGTCAACTATTGTAGTTGGCTCGAGATTTTTATAACGTTCGTTTCAGTCTGTCTTTTAAGGTACAGATTTGCAAGGCCATTTACGTCGTAATTTCAGGTACACAATGAAATGGGCGTTGTAGCGTCGGGCTTTCTCGCCAATGCTGTTCACGTTGATGTGAGACACTTCGAAAGCGCATTTGAGTCGAAAGAAACGATGGATCTTGTGTCTGACGACCTGTATCACCTCTTTCACGAGAGGGATTACCAATATGAGTAAGATAATACAAATGTACGTACTATATATTTTTGTAAAAATATTATTTATTTTTTGAAACAAATGACCTTTTCAGAGGTGAATTCCGCTCTATTCACAAAGCAAATTCGTCGTTTACTGAAGCTCAAATAATCTGGAAAAACAATTGGGTAACTTTATTGGATGGAATGCTACAGTTGGATAATTTGAGGCAATCGCACTCTTCTTTCTCTACACCCAATAAAATTAGGAGGATTGTGATCGACAATAATAGGATGACAGACGACAATATAATAAAGGAACACGATAAAAAATTGCTACTAGCTCAAGTTTTCGAGGAATATGATTACATGAGGTAACTTTCTTAAATATACACTAAAAGTTTTGTTTAGTCTACAAAGTTCATCTTTTTATACTAAGTTATAAATTCCAGATGCGGTGGCATTTTATTAGAAAGTATTAGGTACCAAGAAACATCGATTACGGATGAAATTTCAGCCAATCTGAAGATCGTAAAATTTGTTCCCCACTTTGATGCTAATATCGATGTAAGTATAATCAAATATGTTCTTGAAACATATTAAATGTACATATGACAATATACGGTCAATATACGGTATTTTTTGATGTAAGTCTAATCAAATATGCTCCTGAAGCATATAAACTGTACATACTAACCCATCAATATGCGGTATTTTTTTATGGAATGACGATAGAAGACTAAAAAATCATACTTATCTTATCTATTTATACTTTTCAGACTGCCGTCACCTGGAAAGTTTACTTGCAAATAGTATCCGAAAATATTAACAAGGATACTATTAATGTCGTGAGCATTACAAATCAAACGAAGGATACATTTTGTGACCTAAAAGTTGGCCTCCATAGCATTGCTGGAGTAAGTTTTAACTATAGCGAAATAAATACGGACAAGATGTTGACACTGAAGGAAAATTTTCTTTCTGAAATTGATTTGGTCCTGGTTCAGAACCTATCGTTGGATGAACACGTAAGCTTTTATAATAATATTAATTTTGTATATGTGTCGCTAAATTCAGCAATGAAATTCTATGCATTTTGAATAATAAAATATGACAGCTTATACATATTGTACGGTGATTACAGATGTGCCAAATGTTATACCGTGTATTGAAACGAGACTCTTTCATCGTGAACCGAGAAGAGACTGTCAATGATCGCATACGACCATCAGCTCTTTACAGTGTTCTGTCTTCACACAGCATAAATCATACAAAACTGGAACTTTTGAAATGGAGGCCCACGCATGTGACTTCCGTGTCTAGTGTTATGACTGTCCGTACAGCTTTCGACTTAGATTACCTGGCAAATACCCGATTATCTCGTTCGTGTCGTAACAAGCTCGTAATTTTGTCTCCGTACCCCTCTGTACCGGGATTGAAAACCATTGTAAAACAATGGAGAAAACCAACAGATCAGCCTATTTATCTGGTGTCTGTAACCGACGAAGATAATATGGAAAAACTACCTGATACAAATCTGGCGTTTAGTGTATTGTATAATGTGAGTATTTCTACTGGTTTTATACGAACATTGATCTTTTGGTCTACGTTAAATCTGTTTTTCTGTTCCATTAGGGTGTTTGGGGTGGTGAGTATTACTTGCCATGCCCTGAAGTGAAAGCAGTGGAAAATAGAATGGTACTTCAAAGCGGTCAAGTCGGTGATATTAACTCTATGTTCTGGATGGAAACCTCAGACGTTGAAAATTCTAAATTGAAAGTTGTGGTACGTCATTTTTATTTTAAAATTTCAATGTTTATTAATTACTATGAAAAAGTGGAAATTATAGTACACATACAATATAGAATGTTATACTTGAAAAGGTTGTGGACTTATAAATTATTACACAAGATTTAGCTTATTTAATGATTATAAACGTAGTAAAGAACCAAAATTAGCGATTATTCGCGATAAAATTTGAAACAGCTCCGACTGTTGTGGCGGTTGAGCTGGGAGTGACCATGATACGAAAACAAAATGAGAAAGTGAAGGAAGATCAAACAATTCAAATTTAAAATTTAAATACATGTAAAATAAAAAAATGATAGGATACAAGCGGAGAGAGGCGATACAAAAAGGTGAGATGACGGTGTAAGGAGGTCACACCGTCACATACTTATCTCTACAAGTAGTCACATTTCATGTAAAATAACAAGTTCCTTAGTGAGAGCTGGGCCCTGATTTTATTTCAAATCGGAAACGAATCGATTGAGTAGCCCATCCGCAATATTATACGCCTCGCGTTGGAAAAAACGCAGCTCCGATGGAGTCTGCACTAGATTGGGTACATGTGTTACAGATCACCAGGCTCACTCCTTAAGTGTATTAAGAACGTAACATCATATAAAATACATGCAAATTACAAAATAAAGCGTAGCATAGCAAGCACGAAACGTGTGCGCGTGCCAGTGTATATGCGTGTCCGTGTATGATTACAACTTATTCGAGTATAGTAAGGCTTTTTTAGTCGACTCTTAGTCGTGAGCGATCAGCCAGTAAGTAATAATTTATACAGTGAATATTAAGGATATTGTTTATCTTACTAGATAAGTAACCTCCTAAAAAATAAAAATGATGCTGTGCACCACTGGATATTGTAACCGAAGGACAGACAGTGTGTTTACGCCGAACAATGTTAATTTTGTTAGAGTGAGTCGTAGGGGATTTGGGTGTGCCACCCATAGATATAGAAAAAAAGGGAGATATGTAATGACGCTATGTAAGATCGGGTGCCGATGTCGCCACTTTTTAGCTTGTGTACAATTCAAAGTTTACGCTCTATTATCTACTACCATAACTTAAAGATTTTGATTGTGTAGGGCTTAAAACGTGAAAACGACGTAAAACAATTTTAAAATTTAACAAAATTAAACTTACACTCACTTGAATAAGAGTTATATTACAATATTTTAGTATTTTTTTCATCCTGGTTCAGCCATTCACCAACAGGTGGCGTTTTAGTAAAAATGATATAATAAAAAAGTATATAATAGCTAACTATTACACGTTAGATGGCGCTTAAACTCATTTTTCGTTACACTAAGAACTCACGGAGCGGTTTTTACCCGCCGCGGGCCCGCGGCATCTGTAGAATGTTACAGTTAAGTATGTAAAATTAGTAGCACATTTCACGGCGCGTTTTACGCCTGTAGTGGTGACGGTTGCTCGCGGTTGCCGCGGCGGGGTACTAGTAGAACCGCGCAGGACGCGATGACCTGCGCGCTTGGCGACTGTCGTCGCCCGCACACTTTGGCGGTCGGTTAAGGCGCAATGTGGTGCAGGCGCCTGCGTGCGTAAGTTCTCTGTTAACCGCGCGATTTGCAATTAACTCCCACTAACTTCGCGGTCCGTTCCGCAATTGCAACGGTTTCGTGCCCGCAGCCGCGACAGCTACGTGCCCGCACAAACTTGCAGGGTCGTGAGTATTGAAATTTAACCGCTGTCTAGCAGCACCGGCGGGCGTGGATGGAAACCGCTCCGTGAATTGTTAACCTTACCTAATCGATAGTTGGAAACCATGTGGCTGTTTTTAATATTAAAAAAAATATTCCATTTTTCATACTATATCTACACAGGTACTGGTGTATTATTAAATTTATATATTAATATAAATTATTTTTTTTTTAATGGCGGCCACTAGGCTTGGACCAGCGATCGTCGCCAGTGTCAATTTTCCATTATACGTTACCACGGGTTCCTGAAGCTGTCACTGTCTAGAGTAAATTCGAAACATCAACGAATTTAATAAATTAAATTATGTTGTTTTTTTATGAAGGATTTATGTAATTTTCTATAATTGTTTCTAGTTTATTTTGCATGCACATGTAAAATAAAGCCGATTTTATTTTATTTATTTTTTAAATGCATTTGCTATGGAAATTGAAACAAAGTCAGGAATAGTAATAAGAAAACCAATCTTTCGATTTTCCTGCACCTTCAACCAACCTTCTTTTATTTTAAACTCATTGGAAAAACTTAAAAATTAAAAATAGTCTACGTTTAATCTACGAGTACAATGGAATTTAAATATCTTAAATATCTAAAACACATAAATTTTTCTTCAAGCAACAGTAACATACAAATTGACATGGAATTGAAACGGTTGTCCGAAATATAAGTTGTGTTAAAGTTACTCGAAATAAAATGTTTAATAATAATAATAAAATAAATGAAATCAATTTAATGTGAATGCTTTTCGCTTCGATATTTTAAGGACTTTAATTACAAAAGTCATAGTAAGAAATTCAAACATTTCAGTAAAAATTTATTGTCGATAAACATCAGTCTTCGTAAATGAACATCACTATATTTGAATCTAGAAATTTTCCATGGAGACAAAAAGAAAACATTGAATAATAATAGAAATAGTGACTAAAAATTGAAATAGCTCGTGGAATGTTAAATCACTGGTTTTAAAATTTTTCACTTCAATTTTTACAAGGTATATCGCTACAACTTGGCATTTTCACGTTCGAGAGATCTTGTATGTACAACGATCGCCATGTACTGTGGCGATGTTTGTAGGCGTGTCACCTCGATATGATCATTTTGACCATATCGAGGCGACGCGAACCACGCCCCCATACCATCTCCCCTTTTTTTCTATATCTGTGGTGCCACCTTACCTATTTCTACCGCCAAGCAGTAATGTGAGAATTACTGCGTTCCAGTTTTGAAGGGTGAGGGTGCTGGTGAAATTATTGGCATACGGAACTTGACAACTGATGTTTCCGACTGACGGGCGTAGTGACAATGCCCCTCAGATCCTTGCGATTTAAAGCTCTGAGTGACACTGCAACTATTATGGACAGGCATGTCGCTTACTCCCAGGTGCATGGCTTGTTCGTCCTGTCACTCGGTATCATAAAAAGATAATATTTTTTATCTACAGGTTCATTACGCAGCGTTGAGCAATTTGGACATGCAAAAAGCGACCGGTGTGGTTTCTTCAGTCACAACTGATGGCCTTAACAGCAATTGCTACGGCATGGACTTCAGTGGAGTGACTGAGAGGTAAATTAATTTAAAAAATTTAAACTTCAAGTACTTACTTTATTACCATTCCAAATGCCAAACTTAATTTACACATTAATATTTATTTGTCAATAATTAATCCCGCTTTATTTTCAAAACAGTGTCCAAATGTCATCCTATTCTTGTTATAGCGGCGAGCGAGTGATGGGTTTGCTACCTAGAGGTGCAGCAAGTACTACGGTGGTAGCAATCCCCGAACTGGTGTGGCCTGTCCCTAAACACTGGACCCTCGAAGACGCTGTCACCGTACCCTCTGCTTTCGCTCACGCTTACTATATCCTTGTTAGTATACTGTGTTTCTTTCTTCTATTTCTCATCAAAGCATACTTAAATCTTATTGTCAGCAGTATAATTTGGCACTTTACTACGTGGTTTTTGATAACTACCACCACCGCTAATTCATATCATTCCTTGGTGGAACGCGAGTAAGGGATAAATCCAAAAGGCTAATTAATAATCTTTGTGTAGTGGACGAAAGCTAATATTTATGTACCACATAAACATACTTTATATAAATTGCCATGTAGCAAAATCTAAATAAGTGTAGATTATTGCGGATTGATGTGAAATCATCCGCAACACAACTAAGTGTCGATGTTTTTCAATTCGTAGCGCCTGAAACTTGACTTTGTTGGACATATGCATTCCATATTAATTCACGGAGGAGCTGGTGCATTGGGACAAGCCCTGATCTCAATCGCGCTCTCGACGGGTAGCGAAGTATTTACTACAGTGAGCGACATATCGAAGAAGCGTTTCTTGACTAGACTCTTTCCACAACTGAAAGGTAAAACAATTATAAGTTTAATAGAAGTTGGATTATTCAAATATACAAAACTATTAAATATTTTATGTGGGACAGAAATTATTTCGAAACCGTTACTCATTTGCGATACTTAATTGAATTTTGGATATTAGAAATTCAACATCACATTGAGATCGTATTCTTTGGCGTTGAGAATACAATTTATGGAGTGTATGGTGACGCCAAGCATAATGGTCAAAACATAAGTATTATTTATTTATTACCTACAGTATTATTTATTTATTTATTTTATTTATTTATTTATTTTAAACACTAAGAATATTACAAAAATATATATACATCACACCCTTAAACCTACATTGGTTTGTCCGGGTGCTGCACGTTCTCCGTTGCTACCACCGTAGTACTTGTACTGTTTATTGTTTGAAACTTCATTATCTGGTATTTGTTTCAGAGGATCACATTTTCAATTCCCGTGATCCTTCATTCTCGGATATGGTCATGCTTCAGACCAATGGAAAGGGATGTTCTGCTGTTGTCACAGCAGCTAAAGGAGAACTTAAAGAGGTAAGGATATTTTGCAATTTTACAGTCAAGAAGATCTATGTGGGACTAATTTGTGTCAATGATTAATAAGTAATTTGTTGCTAAATAACTTGTGATATTTTCCAGATGTACTGCAAAGTATGCGAGCATTCTGGTTTCGTGTGCGATGTCGATCAGATTAACAGCCAAGAAAACTTTAGTTTCAAGATGAATTATCTAACTGGTGAACGAAATTACGCCCGCATTAATTTCAACGATGTTTTCGACGATCCTAAGACTATTAAAGTACGCAACGAACGATTTATTTATTGCATATCATATTGTCCATTTCTAATGGACGGGAAGTCATTATGAATCATACTTCACTAAATATAGTACATTATGACGCCCCGTAAGGGCATGGCAATATCATCGCAGAGAGTCTCACGCTGTTACGTTATAAGTACAGACGGCAGCACATCAAGCCACACATTGACGGATCCCGTTCCGTTACACTGGAGGTGATATTCAAACAAGTGTTGGAAAACCTGAAGAGCTGTTGACTGTTTCCATGACAATATTATATTTTAGTAATCAAGTTTAATTTAATTTAATTTAGTTATCGAAAATTACAAACTAACACACAAAGTCATATTAATGTACGCATGCATTACATTTCTAACTATCCCAATACAATAAATTACTTATATCAATTCACATGAAATTTCACAAGTTGACATTTTTTGTTGACATTGAATTGACAAATATACCAATAACAAACCAATCCTTTCTCTACTTTCCTTTTTTTTCTGTCGTTTAAGGAGCAATTTGTGCTTGTTTGATCTTTGCAAATCAATTAAATATCTTACAGTCAATAGAAAGCAAACCATTGTGCGTATTAAAAAGACGTTTGTGGTTTTTCAGGCGATTCAAACTTTAATGAGCGAAGGTATCGCCCGTGGCTTTGTGCGTCCTCTGTCGCGAGTGGTCTACGACGCAGTTGATGTTCCACGTGCGTTGAATCTATTGGCTTCATCGGCTCATCGTGGCCGAGTAGTACTGCGAATGCACCACAAAGTGATAGCCTCTCAGCCAAGGTAAGTATCGTTATTCCGAACTTTTCCCAGAACTCATTTCAGTTCCAGAACAGTATTTAGGACATCTCGATCAGAACCACAGAACTATAAATACAGTAGAAGTGATTAGTTAGCGTCTGACGCGTGCCAATATAAGGTATCGAAAGACCTACTTGAGCTCAGTTCGCCATTTTCGCTTTGTATGATATGGTTCTGTCATTCTTTCGCGCAAATTCTCTAAAATCGCAGAAAATTGTCTTATTGTGCTATTATGGAGTGCAAAAATGGCAGCCGCACAAAAAATATTATCCATAGTAGTATTTCATATCATCGGTAAGTCTAATTTTAATAAATATTCAATTTTCTGTTTAACGAATTGATTCAGATGTTAATCGTTCGTCGTAGTCCAGCTATAGGCCGCAAGATGGCAGCACGTCGAATAAAATTTCAATATAAAATCAAAACGTCGTAACTTGCAATAAAGATATTGAACTGTCAACCATATAGCGACTGGATAAAGTTTAAATTATATTAACAGTACATAATTTGTTACATCTTTATAAATTAGAAACTATGACCAATCATTATTAAGATTTCGTAGTGTTTATCATTTGTTTGTGTGCATTTTGGCTACACAGCGGTTCCGATAGTTATCGAGGCTTAACTTAAGGCTCTTCCATTGTTTTTTTTTTCTTCTGTGATCAGAACGGACTGCCTTCTTGTTACCTTAAAGCGAGGTATGTCAACGCGAGCCCACATTTTAGGAGGTGAGATGTGGGGGACCGCCACGTGCGTCCCGCAACCTGCGCGCTGAGAATTAATATGAGTAAAATAAGAACGGCAGAGAAAACTTGACAGAGAGCCGACGTCGACGGGCGGGCAGTTTCCTTGTGCTCCTACCGGTAGGAGCACGAGGAAATAATATGTCCTTATGCTCCCACCGTGACGTCGTATCTAATAACTACATTGAACTAGATAAAAAAATATCGAAATAAAAAATTCAAAAGTATCTTTATTTCGTAGGTAAGATGAAAAATTACACTTGAAATAGTCACTTTGAGTTCTTTCGTAAGGCAGATTCTCCTGAGAAGAATGATCAAGAAACTCTAGGGGTTGCTATTTAAAATTAATATACTAATTTAAATGTGTATGTACATTTAAATTACTATAGAAACAAACTGAAAGAGTTACATGGATCACTAACATGGATTTTTGTCATCCAAGTACCTGCGCAGAAGTTGTATAATATTAGTTACCTTTAGTATTAGTTTATAAAGTTTTTCTTTTACTATAGTTTTAAACGTCGTAAGTGGCAAAGTTTGAAAATCAACCGGAGACTTATTATATACGTAGATAGAAGCGTATACATTTTGTGAAATTGTGAAAACAGATATCAAGAACTAGTTTATTTTTATTCCCCTTATTAATGTTATTAGTATGTCTGTAACTATTTTTCATAAAGTGACTATTACTATTCTTCTTATCCCTCAAAGATGCTCAGGAGCCCAGATTGTAAATTGTCCTAAAAGCACGTGTTTGCGGTATAAAAATTCAATAAATATCGGCAATACCCCAAGCAAAATGTCATGTCATGAACTATGGAAGTAACTAAAGAAAATCAGCCTCGCAGTTTCTGTTTAAAAGTATTCGTATTTTTTTACAATATCAATTACGTATAAATATAGGTGACAGTACATTAGTAGGAGCACGAGGACATATTTATCCTTTTGGTCCTACCAGTAGGAGCATAAGGACATATTAGTCATCGTGCTCCTACCAGTAGTAGCACCCAGTAGGAGCATAAGGAAACGGTCGACGGGCGGCGCGACCCGTCGTTGAACCGTTGGGCAATTTTCAAATTTTGGGACAAATGTGAATTTAACAACAATAACAACGCACACACTCAACATATTAATAACTACATGGTTTCAGTTGAAAACCAACATTTAGCAGTTTCGTTTCATTTAAAAATTACGTGCAAAGTTAAATATTTCATTCTGGAATGTTAGATTTTTATTTTAGCCTATTTCCAGGATTTTATATAATCGGGTGAAGTACATCCAGTCGAGTAACAATTAGCACATTCTTTAGACAATATCCTTAGGTGTATCGTATATTCTGTAAGATCGTTATTTAATAGTAAATATCTAAACCGTTTGATTTAGCAAAACATATTTTCCGCTTCTCCTCCGGTGATTCTGCTTAAACGCTGTGTTCTGTAGAATGCTTTATTCATTTTTGTAGTCTTTTTTTATGCAAAATATATGTAATATTGCTATTGTCTTTTTATTTACAGGATCACCTGTTCGCCAGCACTATCGCACGTGGTGGTTTGTGCCGACGAAATTGTTGGCATCCAATTAGCTGACCGTTTGGTTCGTCGTGGAGCGAAGAAATTGTTATTACACGTCTGCGGATCCTCTGGTTATCTTCGACAAAAGATTCGGTATGATCTTTTCGAATGTGACGATTTATTAATTATCTAAAATAAATAAAATCTAGAAGTTATAAATCATAATATTGTTTTAGTTCATGGGAAAAGAATGGCGTGAACGTGCAAATCGTTTCTGCAGATTTAGACATGACGGGCGTGACGAATCTTTTGAATGTAAGCAATCAGACTGGACCAGTTGAGGGTATATATATGACGGTGAACAAATGTCATGGAAACAAAGTAGTTGACTATTTATCAACGTTGACAAATTTGGACTTGGTATCAAGGAAACTGTGCCCATCATTAAGGTGAGATTAAGTTACAGAAAGGGGGTTCGGTAAGGTAATAATCGAAATATAAATTAAAACAAAATTAAACAAATACAAAACCTAGTTTTGCAAACTACATAAATGAAATATGTTCCAGTTACACATTATATAAATTGAATAAAACTCAAAAAGTACAAAATTGAACAGAAAAAATATTTAAGCTCATATTAAAATGTCTAATTAGAAAAACTTATTATAAAATCAATTATTACATAAATGATACTAACGTATGGTGTACTTCCAGGTATTGAATGTATGTGATGATACAAAAAAATAATTCTTCTCAAGCGAAATTGACTTGCTAAGGTCTAGTGGCTTTTTGTTTAATGTAACGCTTTCAAGTGTAATTTGATTATCTACGAAATAAAAATACTTGATTTGATTTGAAAAGAAAGAGGTGGTATAACAAATTTTAATGTAAGATATTTGATGACGCGATGTGAGAAGCTCTAAAATAGTTAGAATTTTGTTTTTAGGTACTTCACAGTAATCAACTTAGGAAACAACATCGGAAGGAATACGTGTCTGGAGAGATCTCGTCTTGGCTTACCTGCTACAACAGTTGACTTACATGCGGTAAGTATATCTATTAATGACTGGTATTCAAAGGATTTTATGCCGACAGTACTTGCTGGCTCTGTGGGTACAACGAAATTTCATCATATTTTGGATATCAAATAATGAAATCCGATGACATCCAGTAGAGACAGTCTGTAACTTGTCAGATATTTATTTTTATACAATAATTGTCAAATCTAATCTGGTCTTATGTAGTCATTGTTAGTACCTCCACTTTCATCACACCCAACATCATCACAATCAACTACAGGATAAACCTTTAACAGAAATAAAGATTTTTACACTCTTTACAACCTGTCGGTGAAGCAATTTTTTTATCCAATACCCGAGGCATTGTAATGAAAATAATTAATCAATGTATATCAATTTTCAGTTTTTCAATTCTGAAGAAGCAGTGTCCGGAAAGCTGACGTGGCGTAGTTTGATCGACGCCACTGAGGCTGCAGTATGCAGTGCTCAAGTGGATGTTGCTGCTTTCCCGCAGAGACGAGTGGCGAAGACAGTCACTGAACAAATAGCCGATTTGGCTGGTAAGATTTCAATAAAAAAGATAGAATGTAAATTTGTTGGTGCTGGTGAAATTACAGGCACATGGACTTGACAACTTGTGGTAACAAGCGCAGCGGTAGTGTTCCTCAGATCTTTGCGATTTAAAGTTCTGAGTGCTACTGCGCTTATCACCATGCGCACGACCTGTTCCTCCCGTCGCTTAGTATCATAAAAAAAGGAATTAAAACGTGGGCTTCATGTGTTTCATGGTCTCATGGTGATCATTAAGGGTTACCTGTGAAAAAAATTGTTGAAAATTTCGACATTTTCTTAAGGATTTTATTTTGTGCGGTTTTTCATGGTTTTTTTTAAAGAGTAGGAGTTATTATACTTATTGTCTGTATAATACATTACATTTAAATTACAGGTATACAATTATCGGATGATCCTGAAATTACGCATCTTGTGAATCCTGCTAAAGCGTCAATAATTCAGACGTTCCTCAGAACTATGCATAATGTCCCTGTTGATGCTGAGGATTTCATTACGTTGACAGCTGCTAAGTGAGTTGAATACTGCTTTAATATCAATGTCGAATGTCAGTTGTAATTATATAACATTGTAAGTCAGTCTTAAAACATTTTGATGTAACATTAAGTTAATTGTATATCACGATGTTTTACTACTATGATATTCCATGGTAGTAAAACACGTGATATTCAATAAACTTAATATAACAATGATTAAAGCGACGTCTCTAATCAGTCGCTTGTAATTTGTAATTAAATAAAAATTAAATAAAAAGTAATTTGGGAGTACAATCTGGTATACAAATATCTATTCAGGCTCCCTATTAAAAAATACAATTTTTATGTTGCGGGTCATAAACTAATTAATGCTGCATTAGGTTCTATTTACTTTGAGGAAGTATTTGCAGATCTAGATTTTGTGAATGACATTGTTGATAAATTTTATAAACTATTATTTGATATCATTGACAAATATGTCCCTAAAACTGTCACAAGGTCAAAAAGTGTAATTTTCTGCAGTGTTAATTTATGTTCGTGTTTAATAGTGTATTTTTGTTGGCGAATCTAATCAATGAATAAATAAATCGTTAAAAACCAATAACAAAGATACGTAACAAGTACATGGAAAAATACGTAAGGTCGGCTGGTTAATTTCGTAGTTACGGTTCGGAGAGCGTCAGGCATAATAATTGCTGAAGGCGTTGGTTCGAATCCAGCAGGATCGAAATAATTTTTCTTAGTGTGTTAATGTTATTACTGTTACCTTTGTTTGCTTTACAAGGCTAAGAAGCATCGAAGAGTACCTAGGGAAAGCAGTAAGAAAGGAGTTGCATGGCCTGGGCACTTTTTACTCCTGCGAACACATCGATGAGTTAAAGGGTACCATTCCCGTGGTGCCGCTGCAGACTCTTATTGAAGCAGAGCCAGAGGTATTTAAATACAAGTTTAATTTGTAAAATAATTATTAAATTATGGGAGTCTAAAGGTGCGTACAGATCTGGCGAATGCGCCACAAATGTGTGCGCGTGTTTGCAAAGGCTCGTGAGCTGCACACGTGTATTACGTTGCGATTTGTTCGCGCGCCACATATGTATCATCGATACTCGATGGCATGTATTTAACAGTATGAGAGTACCATGCGTGCATGCAGCGCATTCGTCAGATCTGTACGCACCCTAAATAAGGATGATACCTACTACTCATTGGTCTTCATCGTACAAAGATAAATGCTTGTAATATATTAGTTACATACTATTTGAGGACGCTGTCCGCGTTTTGCTGATAACATTGATTTTGAATAGCACCCAGTGAGGGCAAAGTTTCATAGGCGTTTCTCTTTTTTTTGCACCTTTGTGCGCCTCAACAAAATTACATGTTTCAGGGTTATGAAGAGTTCGACGTAACGAAGCAATATGTATGCATAGTACCAGGCTTAGAAGGGCATCATGCTCGTTTCCGCTTGATGTGCGAGCGATTCAAGTCAGGAGCAGTGGTGCTTCAGCCCGGTCTTGACTGCCCTTATGACACAGTGAAGCAGACAGCTGATAAATATGCCCAGGTGAAACTATTACTTGCCTTTTCTGTTACGAGGACTCCAGAAATCCATCTCTCAGGGGATTACATACGCATTGCCACTATGATCATAGTGGTAAAGTCAGAACAAGTTATGAAAATTATCTTAAGAAGCACCCCATTGATCTAGTCCAGGAATTAAATTCTTTTAGAATGACTTATTAAATTCGTTGTGACATTTACAGTTACTCCGAGACAAAGTGAATATTCAAGACAACTTTTACTTGCTGGGTTACGAGAGCGGTGTTCTGGTTGTGTTGGAACTCGCTGCCATTTTGGAAGATTGCGGTAGGTTTCTGCACAAATCATCTGCTTAGTACATATTACTGAAATTACAGGCACATGGGAATTGTCAACTTATGTCTCAGGGTGACGGGCGCAGTGGCAATGCCCCTCAGATTTTTGCGATTTAAAACTCTGAGTAGCACTGCAACTGTTGTGGGTAGGCGTGTCGCTTACCACGAGGCGTACGACTTGTCCGACCCGTCGCTTGATATCATAAAAATATTATTGACTTGCAATTTTTAAGTTATTGAACGTCACGATTATTGACCACCACGGTGTTAAATTATTTTGGTGAAATTATACCACTAGTTCCTTGAAATTGTAAATACAAAGATCGATCCTTAGAAAAAAATTCCTTCGATCAGACTGGATTCGAACCAATGTCTTGCCAACTATGCAACGAAAGGAACTAGCGGACTTTAGGAATCTTCCTATGTGCTTGTAACGACCTTTGTTTTTGGTTATTAACGACTTTTTTTGCCGTAGCACCACCTGTGAGGAATCTATTTCTTCACTCAGTCAGGTGCCTTTACACTTGCTTAGATGGCATAGTGTTTGGTACGGTTTGCTGGAAGACGTTGGTTCAAATCCGGCCGGATCGAAGGAATTTTTTATAAGTGTTCGATCTTGGTATTAATAATTATAACTTACTGCACAACCATGTATCTGCCATTTATCGTACACAAGAATGACAACTGATTGCAGATTGGCAAAATTGTTCCAGGTCTTAAAGGTACCGTGTTTTGCGTTGGTGGCGCTCCCGAAGAGTTCCAGGCGACCCTCAAACACGAGCTAAGAGAGTACCAATCGGATGAGGAGCTGCAGAACGCCGTCATCAGGCACATGTTTGTGTTGATGAAGGGTGACGATGATGGGCTTGATGAGGTGATTTCTCTATACTTTATCCAACAGCGTATTGTATACTTTTTCTTTAATAAATTGTATTGTACTTAATTGAATCGAAAGACTAATTAAGTGCTTTTGACAAAAAACTTAATGAGTATTGTAGATTAGTTCCTCAATCGTGGATAGGTACAAATGAATTTAGCATATTTCAATTCAATTTAAGTCAAATATTGTTTATTGCAAGTGAGTGAAATAATCCTTAGTCGGGTAAGTATTTAAATAATTTATTTAAATAGAAACACCAATGGCATAATGTTGTAAAGAAGCATATAAGAAAACAACATTAACGCCGACTGACGAAGGTTTAAAATTATTGGTTGTTGTCATCCAGTTGCCAACACAACCCTTAAAATCATAAAATCTAAAACATAATGACTTCTCATGTTTAATTGCAGGAGCTGAAAAAGGTATCCACGTGGAAAGAGAGAATAGATGTGTGCGTGCGATTGTTGCTCGGACGTGTGCCTCACTCAGCACAGTATGCGAAAACGCTAATCTTGTCTGCATACACGCGGATCAAGCTAGCACTGCAGTACAAACCACAGCCGAGGCAGCTCAATTCTAGAGTAATTCTCCTACACTCACCATCGATGATACTTGAAGACCCTCGCGACACCCCAGCAACATTACTCCAACAGTACTCCAAACAACCAGTCGTAGTTCACGAGCTGCAAGAACCACTTGCACACGCCGCCCTCGATCTTCGTATCCCGGCAATCATCAACACCTATTTCGATGAAAACATCAAAGAGGCTTACGAAAAAGCCAATCTATGCGAAAAATATAGGATTTTGGGTGATCTATTCACTGGCTCTCAAGACGTTGCACTATGAAACGTCCAGAACATGCTAGCTGGACAAAAATATTTATTGCTATTTTTTGCTTTGTGGGGTTTTCTTATTATGAATACCTAATTAAATTTTAGCTTCAGGGGACCCATTTTGAGGGGAGGGGGGAGAGTGGGTGGTGGTATTATGGTTAGTTAAAAAAATCCTATTCTCATTTAAATAATAAGTATATTAAAAAAATAAAAAAAACAACAACAACGAGTATAGTCAGGTAGTGAGAAAATAGGTGTAGCAGGTACAAATTAACTATTAATTAATTAACTAATACTTAACTTATAATCTATAATTAACTAACACTTTACAATTCTCTAATACTCCATAATTAACTAATACTATTAACTAATCTCTAATTCTCGGTACCGCTAAAAAAGTCATGCATACTAACATTAGGATTCTTAGTACTTAGAGATTTAGAGATGGGGGTATTATTAAATCTAATATTTCAGAAGGGAGGCTACCTGTGTTTTTTTTTGGGAACCTCTCTTAGGCCGTTCATTACAGAGTCAGATGTGAGCAACAACATATTAATTAAATCTTTATACGTGGCAATACGTGACCGTTTACGAGTGTTATGCTCTCGGAATCTTCTGCAATCTTTATTGCGAGCTTCCTGAGCTTCCTCAGAAAGCTGCCCAATTGGTAGCAGAGCTGACTGAGTAACATCTGTACTGTGTACAAGAATTTTATGCACAGTAGCAGGCATGTAATACCACGGATAAAGATTTATATACAAATGTCTAGTGGCTTGTGCTAAAGATTTAAATTTCTCGATGTTAATATCGTAACTGGAAGCTAAAGTTCTGAGTATGGTGGTGAAATTTTTTATAAGAGTCACATCTATACCTGTAATATCTGTGCTAAGCTCAAAGTTCGCAAAAAATCGACGGGCGGTATTTCCATCATTATTATTCCCAAACCTTGGTTTCGGTTTATCTACAATTATTCCCATTTCAGTTTCGAATCGGTTTTGAATGTAGACGGAACGCTGTTTCACATTTTCTTTATCAGCTTCATCACGTAGCTGCCATTTTTTAATATCGAGACGGTATCTTATATGTAGCAAACATTCAAAACAATGAATCCATGCATGCAGTGTATATAAACCAAAACCAAGGATGTCCCCATTAACTACATACTCCCTAGATTCATCATTCATAACTTTTGGGGTAGCTCCACAAATATAGCACTTTTGTGATGAAGAAGTTTCAGTCACAGCACTGCACACATTACCATCAATCATTGTGAAAAGTAGTTTGTGCTTGACAGTTATATCTTTGCCATCAACGTTACATGTTGTCGGCAGCAACTGGTTTATTTCTTCCATGACTTTATTTGTTTCTGCAACGGTAAAGTCGGTAGTTTCTTTGGAGAAAATAAACTTAATAGATCGACGATACATTGATGAAGATGGACGAGGGTTCTGCCAAGCAATGTTACCACTTTCGTCGTGCAATTGAAGCGGCACAAAGGTAAACACAAATAAATATTCATCAGTGACTTCATTGTGGGTGAATTTTTGTTTGTAGGTACTGTGACTGGAACTGCCATCACAGCCCCACTTGTTTCTAAGATTGAATGGTGCCTCTAAAGAAGAAGATTTAAGAACTTCATGCTGCGCATTCATTAAACGTTTAACTGTTTTAGTTAAAATAGCTTGAAGTTTAATTTCTGCACGAACTTCATCTACAAATAAATCTTCTTCAGGAGGAAAACATTTTGGCTTGTTGAATTTAAGTCCACATAATAAGCCAAAGCCTCTACCTTCGATAAGCACCTGTGACTATTGTTTTCACTATCATTGACCGTAGCAATCATGGCTTTGCATTTTTCGGGACTTTCCTTAGCGTCTCTAACGACAGCAGCCAAGTTCCGGTGCCCAGAGTCGCGCTGAAAATTCTGCTGCAGTCACTAACTGATTAGTGTCGCGGGTACTGAGCAAATCCTCAGTTCTTCTCATTTTCGTTTTATCACTGGACTTTTCAAACTCTTTGCTTGGACGTCCAGGACTTTAAGATACAGTGGACGAAGATGGCTTTGCGTGGCAAAAGGACACTTTAAAGACGAAGTCTTTTGACGTCCACTCTTCATTTTTTTTCCAAATTCGTCGCGGCTCTTTTTGTGCTTGTATCATATTTTTCTAAATTTGAATTAAATGCGCTGATTGCCTTCTTTAGCGCCCTTGAAGAATCTTCGGTGATACCGGAGAAATCATATTTTGAATATAGGAAAGCAAACCATCCGCCATTCCGATTTTCTTTGGCATGTTTAAGACACTCCTCAAAAAGTTCTAATCTTGAGATTGCGAAGAGGTGCTCCAGAAAAAAAATAAAAAATATATGTTCCACAGCAGTCCACAGCCTAGATTTATTACTATTGGAAAGAAGAGAGTTCTGGGTACAATATATATTAGTTTTAGGTCTGTGTCACATGTTGGTAATAATTACCGATCTAAAAATTATTTACATTTAAATTTGGGATTACGTAAAAAAATAACGGGCAGTAACTGGTTACGTTGTTTTATAAATTAAGGTAGTACATACCATTACCTTCAAATTCCATCACTAAAACAAACTAAAACCACTATTAAAATCACTGTCATATGTATTTGCGTCAAATGCAAAATTGCTAATGATAATTAGTGCACTTACCCCTTTTCTTATGTACTTACCTGCTTCCCTTAATTACCGTAACCCCCAGTGTAATTAAATTCTTGCAATTCAAAGTTCGTGGATTTTATCTATCTTAATATTAGTAAACAATTTCCGGGACATTCGATAGTGACTTTTGTCCAGCTAGATTTTGATTTGAGCTGATGTTAATATTATAATTATTTGAATGCAATTACAGTTTTGTGTTTAGTTATCATGAGTAATTTATAGATTAGTGGTTTACTTTTTTAAATAAATGTATTCTTGTTTGAGCAAATTGTGTTAAGTTTCGATATTGTATTAATCTGTTGTAAAAATTAGTTAGTGAAACTGTAATGATATAGGTGAATAAACTTCTCCAGAAATAAAAACCTACAGTATGGTCAATTGCCGAATTGACCTTGTTATATTCAATATACCGACTGAATATAGTTTGGAAACAATGTTTGAAAGGAGAACAGTTTGAAAGGAGAAGATGAAGGAAACGAAATAAAAAATTTTATTTCTAATGATCTGTCTTTGTGTCTGTTTGTTCATCACATAAAAACTGATCTTAATTAAACTTGATAGAATTATTATTATTAATACAAAGATAAATTTCTTCGACTCAGTGGGACTTGAACCCACGACCATGCTGCACCGTAGCATTGCTCTTACCAACTGAACCTTGCACTGGCTTTCGGCATTTGTCGCTGCTAGTGACATCTAGTGAGAGATTTTTGAAAAACCTCATCGCAGCTGGTATCTTTACAGATGCCTCAAATTGATCAAATATATTGTTGAGATTTTTTGTGACTACTCCACTAGTTTTGTTATTATTAGGTACTAATACAAAGATCGAACACATGGCATAAAATTAAATTTGTCATGATAACCCGTTACGTTTGAAAAAGGATAAAATACATTGCGTTTATTATGTTCAGTGAAGTGGATCGACCAAGGAAAGACTATCTTATAAGTTATGAGTAATGGTTACTCGTACCGGAGGCCAAGATCCACTTCGGGTTGCTGAGTCAACGGAGTAAGTAAGGTTACATAATGGTTTAATTGATGAAGACTAATCCTTTAAGAAGGCAATTGATAAGATCTTTTATCTCTAATACGTAGATATTAATATTTTCTGAGCTAACTAAACATATCAAGTGTCTAGGGATCAAGCTCATTTTTGCCAATTACCTTAGAATAATAACGCACAGAAAGATAGTTTCATATCAAACGAACTGTCACAAAAGAGGCAAAAATCAAATTCATGTAGGCTAGTTTTAGTAGTAGGTTAATTTTAGGTTTTAGTGAATATTTATATAAAAACATAAGTTGAAACGCGTTACTTCCTTGTGCAATGTGATGTTAGTATCTATTTTATGTTTGTCAGACGTATTTTTACACTCATTTACCGCACCGCAAATTTCGTCATTTTTAGCTAAAATTCTGGAGCTGTTCGCGGGGCAAGTTGACCTTGAGCACTGAAGGCCCGCCCGCTCGTGTAGGCCCATTGGGCGCGCTTCAATTTGCCTCACTTAGTGTGTGCGGACTCGGTTTCTGTGCGTTATTATTCTAAGCCAATAACTAAAAATCGGGTTTTGTAATTCAATTTTTTAACACCAATGGCTTTTTTGGTTAATTTCATGTTTTATAAAATACGTAACTTCTTATCATGTCGATACTTCCTTTATTGTAGGACTACATTGATCCTGAATAGTAGAACTAAATAAACAATTTAATGGATTTATATAGATATTTATATTTTATTTTAATATTTAATAGGGTCATCAAATGTTTTAAAAAAATACCTCGAAGCCTTGACATTTTGATATGTGTATTAGGTCATTTAGACGTGTCACCGTGTAACCGATAAACCGCTCTTAGCAATGACGTCTATAAATAACATAATCTGAATATGGATACCGACGACAATTGCATTATAATGTAGCAATTCATTATTCACAAATAATACACTTCCGGACACTTGAATCGAGCCACATTACATTCCCGGGCCTAAAAACCCATTACACAAAATATATGCAATATAACAAAAAAGTTTTTATGCATTTTTAATGCTGGCATATTTCATCGTCTTTCCCGTATGTATTCTTCCAAATTTGAATTTAAGATTTTAAAATAAAGAACAAAAGCCGAGCTTGGTCACTGATTTGAAAAAAATAATGGCTGTAGAAAGTTACTTTTGAAGCGATTTAATTTCGATTTTGTTTGAATTTTCGCTATTTTTGTTAACCAAAGTTTAGTTTAGTTTTTTTTTTCTTTAATTTGAATCGCTTTTGGCTATAAAATTATGGATACTTCACCTAAAGTAGCCGCGCAAGCTGTAGCACTTCTTCAATCTGGGCTAAGTCAGCGAGATGTGAGTTCACAACTTCTCATAAGTCGTTCCGCTGTCCAAAGAATGTACCATCGATACCTGGAGACTGGCGGCTTCGTTC